ATGGCAAGTGCAGCCAGGCTGATGTCCGAGTGCTGTGATGTGCCGAGTGTGGGCACTCAGGGCACTCTAAGCCAGGACTGCTTTGCTGTCCCTCATCGAGGTAGGCAAGTGAGCGGGGAACCCTGAGAACTGTCTGTTCGGGGTGGGGGTTGGGTCCCTTTAAGCACAGCCCTCGGCTAGCCTGTGACAGCAGCTCCATGCTCTAAGTCCTAACCTGATGCCCTGCCAGCACTGCTTCTGGCCAGCCTTAACCTCGGTTCAGGGTCCACTCAATGTGCTAATTGAGGGTCAGGGGTTCAGGGTCTGCAAAATGCTAATTTGAACTAGTTTTTAGGTCTAGATGCACTAGTTGGAATTAGCTTAGTTCGAATTAACTAATTCGAATTAAGTTAGTTCGATTTAGTGCTGTAGTGTAGACATACCCTAACATACTGTGCTGTTCACTACTCCTTTGTTTGAAACATTTTATAATACACTGTATTTCTTTGCCTGTTATCTAATATACTTTTTGAAGCACTATTATATGAATTTGATCATTTTATCTCAATTTGTTTTTTTCCCCCTGGAAGGCTTGTCTGCACAGCGGATTAGGTTGTGTTTCAGCCATTGGTACTAGCTATTTGTGTAGCTGTACTGTTGCACCTCATAATGTAGACAGGGTATGCTGCATTAGTCTGGTCAGGGCTGGTTCAAACTTCACTGGGCCCTTTGCAATGTGGTGGGATGGGGCTCTGGGCCCTGCAGAAATGGTAGCGATAGGGGCAGCTAGTCCTCAGCACTGCCCAGATGGTGCACATGTCCCCCTGCCAGCCTTTATCACTGCCTGGACTGTGCCACCTGGGGCTCTGGCAGCAATTTAAAGGGCCCAGGGCTCTGACTGCTGCTGCTGCCACAGTAACAGCAGTGGTGGCACGGAGCCTCAGGCTCTTCTAAATCACTGGGCCCTGGGGCAACTTCCCCTTTTGCCCTGTCGGTGGCCCTGACTCTGGTGCTTCTTATGCCAGTTTCAATCAAGCGATGATCCACTGGTGCAAAGAGTGGCTTCAGCTGCCTACATTAGGTCACATCTACTGGACCCTTAAGTGTGGCTTCATTTACTTGAGCAGAGTATTATCCCAATGAACACCATTGCAGAATCAAGCCCTAGTATTTTGACCCGGGGGTTACACTGGTGGCAGGCTGCAAATGGCTGTAATCAGAACAAATATATAAAGTCAGTAAGAGCTGAGTCATTTTTTGAAAGCTGCCATTATGTCAGGGGTGGGCAATAATTTTTTGCTGGGGGTCACTTTGGAAATGTTTGAAGTGGCTCCAGGCCGCACAGGAAGGGGCGGGGCATCAAGCAGAAGGGGCATGGCCAAGATGTGTCCGGGTTCCCCAACCCCAGAAAATGATTGGTCTGGGGTTGAGGGAGTGCCTTTGCCTCCATCCCATGTTCCCCCAAGGTGCCCATGCCCCTGGCATGAGAGATTTCCCTCACTTCTCTGCCCCTAGGCCAATTAGGGGCCGGGGGAGTGCGCTGAAGCCTCCTATGCTGCCACCCCCCTCGTGAGCAGCATGCGGTACTTCAAAGCGCCATGTGCTCCTGGCAGGGTGGGAGGAGTCTTTGTGCACTCTCCTGCCCCCAGACCAATTACGGCCTGGGGGCTGGGGAGCACGCGAAGCCTCCTCCAATCTCCCCTCACACTGCGAGCAGCGCACGGTGCTTCAAAGCACCACATGCTGCAGGCAGGGTGAGGAGGCTTCACATGATCCCCTGCTCCCAGGCCCATTAGGGCCTGGGGGTGCGGGAGGGTGCAAAGCCTCCTCCGCTCTCCCCCACCCTGAGAGCAGCGCATAGCACTTCAAAGTGCCGCGTGCTCCTAGCAGGGCGGGAGGAGGCTTTGCATGCTCCCCCACCCCCAGGTCCTAATTGGCAGGGATGGGGGAGCAGCAGGGCCTCTGTGGGCTGGATCCACTCGCTTAGTGGGCCGGATCCTGCCCATGGAGGCTCTTTTGCCCATCCCTGATGTAGAGCCTAGTTTTATTGGCTACTTAATAACTTATGTAATCATTTACACCTGTACCAAGTGTGCACCCTGCGATAGGGTTGCCAGATACCAGTCAGTCCAATTGGGCAGCCCTACACTGAACAAGGTGCAAAGCATCGAAGATTTGGACCCTGTGTTTTGCAATTTCATTCATTTATTGCTTTTATATCACTGTATTTTAATTGCCTTTTAATAATGGTAATTGCATCAAGATCAAGGTTTTCTGTCTATAGAATATATACAGCCTGCACATCTATGTGCAGCCTTTCCCTCACTGAAATACCATATGCATCCTCAAGAGGTCACTTCTAAGTAATTCAGTCTCTGTCATGCTCAGCAGTTAGACTATCTGAAGAGCCTAAAACCAAAATACCACTGAGTTCATGAGGACAGAATTTTATCCTAGGTTATCAGTTGTGAGACTGTTTGCAAAATTAAAATACCTTTTTCCTAAATATTTTGCTTTTTTTGGATTATTGAAATTTCTTTCTATTTCATGCTTCTGCTTGGTCTTTAGTTGGTTTATGGATTTAACTTTAATATTTGTAGCTTAATATTTGTACTAAATATATTAACACCCATTCTTTCTTGAAACTGATGGTGTATGTAACGCTGCATCTGAAAGTTTTTTTTTTGTATACTGTACTTTTATAAACAGAAGCTTCCCTCTCTAATTTATGTTGCGCAAGTGTCAAGTTACCTAGTTATGTTTCAGTTCATATGCAGAATTTGGCAGAAAGAGTCACTGCATTCTCCCTCTCCAGAGCTTTCTTTCTTTCTTTCTTTCTTTCTTTCTTTCTTTCTTTCTTTCTTTCTTTCTTTCTTTCTTTCTTTCTTTCTTTCTTTCTTTTATACAGTTTGAAATGTTGTATTTTTAGTGAAAAATGGTTTATCCCACTTAGTTGTGTAATTGCACTTCTCATGAAGTTTCAAGTGCTTCGTTCTGCAGAAGTGTGGTTGTTTGGGTGTCATATTATGGGAAAGCCTGTGGTAACTTTGGTAACTTAAGCCTGTAAAGTGTTGGGTGCCCAAATTTAGCAGATGTGCTCTCTGCACCATTCAGGAGGTGACCTGGGTTTTTAAGTCTCAGCATTTGCAGATTCCACTTCTCATGCAAAAACGGTTTTTAGAAAAAAAAAATCCTTACACTGCTCACCCTGACATTCTGCTGCTTAGCCTATTTGCACTGCTTATTAAAAGCTGTATGTAAAAGCTCAATTTTTATCCTAATACTTTCATTCCCTATCTGAGCCTAACACTGACTGTTCATAATAAATTTCATTTGTCAGTTTTTAGCTACTGTATCCACACACGAGTCTGTTTATAAATTACATAATGAAACAATATAAACATTTCTTTCATAATATTTTTAAAACACTGGCATACAAATAATAAGATAAGAATAAAATGAATGAATATGCTAAGTTAGATTAATATATTAATGGAAATACATGGTAAATTACAAGTCTAGAATTTTTATGCAGTTCTTTTTCATCACCATTCCTTTTTCTTTCATAGCCCTTCCCCACACATGAATCTTCCGAGACATACGATTGGTATATTTGTTGTTTTGCTCTGGACTAGCACAAAAATATTCTATACTGTTGATAACTGCTACATTCATGTGAGTTTCAAAGGGAATACTGTGGATTTAGTTCAGAGGAGGTGTTTTCTATTTTCCAATGTTGTGTGCAAATTACACAAATCTCTTCTTCGGTTTATGATAAAGCTTTTCCACATAGCTCATGATAAGTATTTTAGCATGTAAGATTGTGCATTTCCAGCAGATTTCATTGCCCAAAAGGCAAATCTCAGGGCCCTAGCTGAGTTAGTACAATATATGAATGAATGAAGTAGTCCCACACATTCTGAGAATGAATCACACTTTTGGTAGTAAATTAATCTAAAATCTAGAGCTGTTCACAAATGGAAAGGATATGAGTAATTTGTTAATATAGGTCTCTCATGACTGTCGTTAAAATAATCTATAATGAGAGAACATCCTGTGAAACAGAAAAATGTGCTATAGATCAAAAAGCAAGGCCATTATTTTGAATAAAACTGTAAAGTACATTTAATTCAAGTATGAAAAGATTATGGCCTATCAGGCTGTAAAGAAGCTATTTACTCTATTAGTATGCAGCTATTTTGACGGTTTGTATATTGAAGACTTCATAAGGAAACCTTTATGATAAAAGTTTAATTTCAGTTTAACCTCTCCATTTTCAGTTTATTGCATAGAATCATATTGATCTTAACCTACTGAGAATTTATTACAGAAGGTTCATATGGACGTACATTTGTTTGCACATTTAGAAAACAGGTCCTGCTGCCGTAAGAGTGACCTTATAAGTGTGTGACGGGAAGTATATCCTGGAGAGAAAAGCCATACCTTTATCTGCCAAAGGAAATATTCAACTTCAATTTAAATTCCAAAAAGAGCTGTACAAAATCTTATACTTACAATTTTTTTTCTTGGATTGTCACCCTCTTTTAAATGTTTCATTTAGTATTAACACTTGTCCAGAGAGGCAAGTTTCCAAATTCCATCCTTAGCATTCTTCTTTATATTCTTGTAAAACAGAAGTATTGTCATACTTTGGTTGTATCCACACTGATTGTGCTGTTGCCTGACTCCTTTCCTGAAAACATATGTGCAAATAGTGTATGTGGCTAATATGAAAAATAAAGTTCCATTGGGCTCCTGATGGACCACTGATAAAGAGGCTGTGTGTTCTGGCACTATTGTGACCTCTGTAATGATCAACTGAAAAGAAGAAGTATTTTACATTATTGAAATCCTTTTATGCATTCTCGGTCAGGGCCCATTCTGTGACTAATATTTTCCATCTCTCGATCAAATGACACTGTACGAAAAAGTTAGAAAAACACTGTTGAAAAAAGATAACCATTCCACCGTGAAAACTGGCAAATTCATGTAATAGTTGTGATAAAGAAGTGATTACCTACAGTTGTTTGGTTAGTATTATTTTTCTGCTCGGAAAGTATATTCTCTTTGAGTTCTTTAGTATGATAGGTGTTGTAGATGTGCATTTTCAATCTATTTAAACATATTGCACTGTGTTTGAGCCTGAAGCACTATGTTAAAGGAGGACTTGTTTTTACATTGCGTGAGGAACTTTATCATTGTCATCATAGTTGGCAAGAAGGGTATGTCATCAGTACAGAGTTAGATCAAATTATCTGCACTTTAGTTATTCTCTCAAGTTAGCCTCAGTCATAGAATAATAGAATCAGAGAATTGGAAAAGACCTTAGGAGGTGATTGAATTCAACCTCCTGCTAAAAGCAGGATCAATCCCAACTAAATCATCTCAGCCAGGGCTTTGTCAAACTGGGACTTAAAAACCTCTAGGGATGGAGATTCCTCCACCTCCCTAGGTAATCCATTCCAGTGCTTTACCACCCTCCTAGTGAAATAGTTTTTCCTAATATCCAATCTAGACCCTCCACCATTGCAACTTGAGACCATTGCTCCTTGTTCTGCCATCCGTCACTACTGAGAATAGCCTCTCTCTATCATCTTTGGAACCTCCTTCCTCCTCCTTCAGGTAGCTGAATTCTTTCTCCGAGAATTGTCTGAGGACTTTTATGTCACTCCTGCATACACAGGGAAATTGTGGCATTAGCAGTACTTGCAGGATTAGTGGTACTTGAGTGGCACCAGTTCGTGTCTGAATCAGCAGATGATGAGTTCTGGTTGCTTAAGTTTTAGTCTAAGTTAATACCATGTAGGAATGAATGAAGTAGACCCACACTTTTAAAGAATTAACTGCCTATGGTGGTGGATTTTCCCTATGGTGACAAGGACAGCTGAGCAAAATCTGGGTGGCATTATGACCATTAGCGCTAGAGCTGTCATGACATTGGGGCAAACCTGAATGAATGGCTCTGTGACCTGTCACTTGGTTCCTCCACTTGTACCATAAACAGTGAACCATTTGAAGGATTATTTTTGTTCCCCAAGGAAGTCAGATGAGTCCTACCCTGCTGGTTTTGAACCTCTATTCTAGGAGATAGGCGATAGGGTGAAAGATTTCCTTCAGTATACTCTCATGGGGTATGTCTACACTACAGCACTAATTCGAACTAAGCTAATTCGAATTAGCGCATCTACACTTAAAAACTAATTCGAATTAGCGTTTTGCTAATTCGAACTAGCATGTCCACACTGAGTGGATCCTGAACTGAGGTTAAGGATGGCCGGAAGCAGTGCCGGCAGGGCATCAGGTTAGGACTTAGAGCATGGAGCTACTGTATCAGGCTAGCCGAGGGCTGTGCTTAAAGGGACCCAACCCCCACCCCGGACAGACAGTTCTCAGGGGTTCCTCACTTGCAAAGCAGTCCTGGCTTGGAGTGCCCTGAGTGCCCACACTCGGCACATCACAGCACTCAGACATCAGCCCGGCTGCACTTGCCGCAGGCTGCCATCCGGAGGGGGGGTTAATCAAGGGGCTTCAGGAGAGCTTCTACCCCGAGGAGCCCGCAGAGCCAGCCCAGTCCTCCCCAATGGGGGCTCGTACCCCATTCCTCCCTAACCTCCTTCCACTTACCTCTCCCTAGCCCCCCTTCCTGATGTACAAAATAAAGGACACGTGTGTTCAAAAATAGAAACTCTCTTTATTGAACAAAACTCGGGGAGACTAGGAAAAGGAGGTGGGAGGGGGAAGAGAGAGGGTGGGAGAGGGGAGGGCAACTAAAATGATCAGAGGTTTGGAACAGATCCCATATGAAGAGAGGCAAAAGAGACTGTGACTTCTCAGCTTAGAAAAGAGGAGACTGAGGGGGGATAGGATAGAGGTCTATAAAAGCAGGAGTGGTGTGGAGAGGGTGCATACAGAAAAGTTCTTCAGTAGTTCCCATAATAGAAGGACTAGAGGACACCAAATGAAATGAATGGGTAGCAGGCTTCAAACTAATAACAGAAAGTTGTTCTTCACAAAGCAAATAGTCAACCTGTGGAACTCCTTGCTGCAGGAGGCTGTAAAGGCTAGAACTATAACAGAATTTAAAGAGATGTGAGATAAAGTCATGGAAGTTGGCTCCATGGAGTGGTATTAGCCAGGGGGTAGAAATGGTGTCCTTGGCCTCTGTTTGTGGAAGGCTGGAGATGGAAGGCACAAGACAAATGGCTTGGTCATTGTTTTGGTCCATCCCCTCCAGCGTCCCTAGTGTTGGCCACTGTCGGCAGACAGGCTATTGGGCTAGATGGACCTTTGGTCTGACCCAGTACAGTCATTCTAAGCTCAGGACTCAGGTTCGGGGGTCTCACTGGACCACCTTGATTT